GATCCAGGACAGGATGGAGGAGCGGGGATGGTCCCGATCCAGGACAGGATGGAGGAGCGGGGATGGTTCCGATCCCGGAGGAGGAGCGGGGATGGTCCCGATCCAGGACAGGATGGAGGAGCGGGGATGGTCCCGATCCAGGACAGGATGGAGGAGCGGGGATGGTTCCGATCCCGAGGGGATGGAGGAGCGGGGATGGTTCCGATCCAGGACAGGATGGAGGAGCGGGAATGGTTCCGATCCAGGACAGGATGGAGGAGCGGGGATGGTTCTGATCCAGACAGGATGGAGGAGCGGGGATGGTTCCGATCCAGGAGGGAGCCGCGTTCAGCCCCGCTCCGCTTCCAGCGCCTCGTTCCTCTCCAGAGCCCGTGAAAAATCCACCCTGAAGGTGGCAAACGGGAGACGCGGATCCTCCAGCGCACCTTGTGCTCCTGTGGCCGAAGCTCCAGGCCAGGGAAATTGAAATGATTTCGTCTTTTCTTTGAAGCTCGTTCATCTGCCTGGGCTGCCCAAGACAGCTGAGAGGTTTTTTAGGGTTTTCAGGACACAGGGAACGGCTCCCACTGCCAGAGGTCAGGACTGGGTGGGATTTTGGGCAGGAATTCCGCCCTGGGAGGGTGGGCAGGCCCAGAGCTGCACCCAATGAAGGCTTTTCCCATATTCCACATTATTCTCCATTAATTTACAGTTCACTGAAGTTACTTTCAGAGCTGTTACAAAGTGAATTTGAAAGAGAAACAAAACTGACCGAATGTTGTGATGTAAATCATAATGCACCATCACCCAAAACTTACCTGAACAACTGTGTAGAGAATATTAAACAAATACCTGGGAAACAACTAGAATTACATTTCAAATAATAAAACCCCTCAAGCCCAAATCACAAATTTCCCAACACAACAGGAATATCTTGGGGGGAAAACGACAGGAGCAGAAAATCAGGGAGCTTTTGCCATTAATTCACAGCGCTGAGAGTATTGAAATGGACAGTAAGAACACATGTTGGTTTTCATCTCTTTTATGTACTTACATTAAGAATTCAAGATGAAGCAGCATTTCAAGTGCAAACTGCCATTCCAGGAATTAAATCTGTGATTAAACCCACAATCTGTGTTGCTGATAGGAATCCTGACCCCCATCAAATTACAAAACTTCTGGAACACGTTTAACAGTAATTGGCATTTAAAGTTGCCCAAAATTGTTCCTTTTCTAGTAAGAGCAGCTTTTAGTGCTTTATATCAATTTAAAATTGAAAGTATTGACATTTTAATGACAACTTAAAGTCTTCCTCAGCTGTGGGGCACACCAAACCAGCAGGATAAACAGGATTCCTAATGGATTGACTAAGCAAAAATGGGATTTGATGGAAATGAAGATTTCCCAGTGGTTCCCGTGTGTCCCCCGAGTTCCACTGGAGCAGTAGCTCCAGCTTACCCCGAGTTTGTAAACTTGACACGTTTGCAGCTACTAAGTTTCCTCTCACCAAGATTTGATCCAGATGCAGAATTCCTCTAATTGCTTCCAGCCTCAGGAGCAGCTTTCCTGCCAGGAATTTGGTGACACGCAGAGCTGAGGAAACATTTATAGTTAAAAGTGGTAAAAAGTCTCCCAGTTTTAATCTGAAGACATCCTAAAGTGAGGAATTGTCTCTGCCAGGGTTTCATTTGGTCACTAGCTGACTGTTCCATGCAGAAATTTGGATTTTTACCAGCCTGTCCCACTCCCAGAGCAGAAATTCCCAATTTACCTGGAATATCTGGGAAGGAGGATGGGATGAGGTCTGCCCAGGGAATGCTGGAAACAGCCAGGGATAATTCCAACTTTTCCCAATAAATCCCTTTCCACTCAGCTTCTTCTTCTTCCCAGATCCTAAAATTCCAGGGTAGCTGTTTTTTTCCTTAAAAGAAAAAATTCCCACCTGGCACAGCTGATTTGTAGATTTAATTTTGTCCTTTTAATACTTTAAATATTTTTCTACTTGCTCTCCTAAACTCAGATGAAAAGATAATTTCCTACTCCAAAGTAGAGTATATTATATATATATACAAATAGGATAAAGATTATAATAGAGGATATTTTAATATAACTAACATATAAATATGGATGCAACATCCACACTCAGTGATCAGTATTCCCAAATTTTTTCTTGTTTTTATCCCAAGATTTCCCAACAAATCCCCCTTTCCCCAACAATGTAATCACTTCAAAAATTCAAATTTTGGACAAAAAAGGCATCTCACAAAGCAGCTTCAGGTTTGTTCCTGGAGAGCTCCAGTGGTGCCACCCTGTGGAGGCTGGAAAATTTCACATTCCCACATTTTGGTGAAGTAACAGCGACAGGGGAAGAGAATTTCCCTGTTAAAAATCCTCCCCAAAAGGGAAAAAGCCGGGCCAGCAGCAGCCCAAGGGAATTTTCTGGAGTTATGTTATCCAAGAAGTGCCCAAAAGGGCATTTTTTGGCATTAAATATTTAATTTTGGTGGTGTTTTTGTTTGTAGAAAACCAGAAGTTGCCACAAACACCTGTTCCCTATGGAAAACCCCTCACAAAGGGTGAAAATTGTATTTTACTGGTTAGAATTTTCCTTGGAACGTTGCAACTTCCAGAAAAAGGATTTCATTTCCCTCCTCCGTGGATTCCATGAAAACAGCCCTGATTTATTTAGTGAATACACAGAGTTAATTCAGTAAAACTGAAGTAAAATTGTTATTTTTAAACATTTTCAGCAAAATAACTCCAGCCTGCAACACACAAAACACTTAACAGGTAAAACAACCTCAAAAAAAGCCTTTAAAAAGCGATTTTAAAAGTGAAAATTAAAATCTTTAAAATCTAAAATCATTTTTAAAATTTAAAATCACATTTTCAAAGTGACTTTCTTCAAATCATCTCTGTGTTTTAGGATGAAAAATGTGAATATTTAATAAAGAAACAGGCAGAGCAGCAGAATTGCAAGTTTTATTGTTTATTTCCCCAAGACAGCCTAGCCTGCACTCTACTTGGATAAATTCACAAGCTAGTTTTCCGCTGCTTCTAGTTTTAAACTTTAAACTCATGTTTCTGATGACAAGGAATGCTGCAAAAATACTCTAGTCCAACAAAGAGTTATGATCACAAAATAATCTTTATCCATTCTACAGTGTTTCAGAATTACCAGCTGATTTGAAAACACAAGGTAGATATAGATGCTAATGGTGGCTAACCTGGGATGTTTTATTATAGCAAACTGTTGTTCATGCAACACTTGTGCTCAAAGGGGAAGGCACAGCATTTCCTACTATGAGCCACCTTATCAAGAGTTCACTTTGTACAAATTTGTAACATCACCTTGAATTTAGTGTGCACCACCTCAAAACTGAGGCATTCCTCCAATTATAAAAACACTTGCATCCTTTTTGTGCAAGTTTTAAAAATACAAAGGTTTTTTTTTTTATTTTTTTTTTTCTCTCTAAAGTGGCTCAAAATAGATTGTTCATGGCTGCCTACATCTAAGATAAAAAGAGTCTAAAACAATTGGATTAGGCATATTAAAGGTGTTCAAACCATGACTTGATTTGTACATCTATTCACACCTCTTTTTTTCGCTCTTTATTCAGCAGTACATATGCACCAAATTTCATTTTTAGACGTTTCCATATCATTTTCATAGAAAACAAAGTTTGAAAACAAGTAACATTGAAACACAGCACGGTATCCTACCACAACAGAAACATTTTGGTTACAGGACTCAACAAAATCTAAAAATGAACTATGCTGGAGATTACCACATGCAAAGGTCTTCATGTTATCTTTGAAAATGAAAAGGATGAGGTTTTATTACCACATTTTACTGCTTTCTACTATTATGGCAACTTGTGTACTGCAACACAGTCTAGTTTGAAGGGAAATGGATGATTTTTTTGTTTGTTTGTTTGTTTTGTTTTTCCATGCAAAAATCTACAAATTAGTTTTGATGATATGGAAAAGCTTTTCATAACATCAAACATTCATCTGGTGCAAATGCACAGGGAAGCCTTCCTGAAATTCTGACTTTACAAACAACTAAGAAGCTGTAACAGGAAAAAAAAAAAAAAAAAAGAAAATTCAAAAGAATGGAAAGAAAAAGGAAGAGGGGGGGGGAAAAAAGGAAATGAAAAAAAGGAAAAAAAAGAAAAGGAAACAAAAAAAAGGAAACAAAAGAAAACAAAAAAAAAGGAAACAAAAAAAAAGGAAAAGAAGAGAAACACACAGGCTGCAGGAGTAAACCAGAGTCTGCTGCTAAACCGGTCTCGGTGTGTCCAGTGTAAGTCAACACTTCTGAAGTCATTGGATGATTTTAGGTTTCTCAGCCCCTGGAGGCGACTCAAGCTCGCACGCGTTCACAGACACTTCACAAGCACTCTCTGCCCTCGGGCCGGGCCCGTGGCTGCAGACACTCACTCACACGGGGCTGCAGAGCAAGGCCTGGGCTCCTCTCGCTGCTGTGCCGTGGGCGTCCTGCTCGCTGATGCGGACGAGGCTGATGATGAGAGTTCTGCGTTCCCCCCGCTGCTCCGGGAGGTCGGTGTTCCTTCTCAGGCACTGAAGATCTGTGACCTGTAGCCCTTTTTTTTTTTTTCTTTGAACAATCTAAAGAAGCATTCAGTGTGAAGTTTGTCGTTACATTTTGCCACTCATTCTCACTCGCACCCACTCGCCATCTTGACTTCATTTGGGCTTTTCTGTGATTCCAAATGAAATCTTCACATTTACTTCCCCGATTTAATGCAGCAGCGGATCCCATGAGCCAAGATTGATGGATCAAACCTTTTTTTTTTTTTTTTATTCGGTGCTGCATTGTACCTAAACTTCCAAAATACCACTCTAAAACTGGAACCCTTCTGCTGGTACATTGGCAGATGAATTGAAACCGAATGTTCCGCCTTGGATCGCTTCCGGAACAAGGCTTGGATCTTCATCAATCTGGAACGCAACGGGAACACGGTGAGTGGGGACACCACAGATCCTCCCTCCACAGGAGCTGGACAATCCCAAAAATCCCACAGCAGCTCTCTCTCCACCTCCAAGGCTCCTGCTCACTCTGGGAACATCCGTGGGGCAGGGGGAGCCCTGTCCCTTCACCTCACCCCCAACACCCAATGCAGCCCTGCCACCCCTCCCCTCATTTAGCTAAGAGAGCGCTAAAATGAAGTCATTCAAACCCAAATGTTTTGGCTCATGTTTACACAATCTTCTCTCCTGGCAGCCTCAGAAACTGCCTCAGTTCTTAGGAGAACACCAGCACCCCTAAACCCAAACTGAAAATTCCGAGTCCAGCTGTAAATGCCAAAGTTGAGTTGCTAAACAACACTTGGCTCTTATTGTTCACATCAAAGTAGAACTCCAGCACAAAACGATCTTCCAAGTGAAAACAGGCCACGAATGCAGCTGGACTCGAGCATTTCTGGCACTCTTCAATGCAGCAGAAACCCTCCCTGCATGGCACAGACTGCCAGGGCTGCACTTTCCCTCTCTGCAATCAACCCCTGGCTTGGAAGTGCACACAAATCAACCCTGCCTCTGATTTCTGTTCCATGTTTGAAATGGGAACAACCTTCCTGATCAGCACATTCCACCTCTGGAATTATTCAGATATTCCAACTACTTCCTTAAGCAGCAGCCTCAGCCCCGGAGTCAGCAGGGAGCTTATCAAATGGGAAATGTCAAGCTGAGAGTTAAGTGAACTATTCCCAGCCTGGGATTTTAATCCCTAGAGATGAGGTTTAAATTAGACATCAGATCTTCTTTAGATGCTTCCTCATGAGCAATGGCAGGAGATGCAGTCGGTTCAAACCAGGGCTCCTTCTTCCCTGAGCCCAGCAAGTGTCCCAGAGCAGCCCTGGGGCTGCTGCTTTTGTCCTGGAGCAAATTTACACCTGAAAACAAGGAGCACCCTGCAGGAACTGCACACTCACATCATCTGAAGAGAAGAACTGATCAATGATCTCATAAGCCAGTTTGTAGATGTCTTCATTTTCATGGTTTTGTAGCTGTTCAATTTTCTCCAGGCCTGCGATCAACACACAAGAGATCTCAGAACACCAAATCCAGGCCAAACAACTTCCAACAAAGAGATTAAAAATACATCTGGGAGTAGAATTATGAATAATCTGGTTATGAATAAGATGCTGTTAAACCCACCTGGCATATTTATATATCTTTTATACACAGAAATCTTTTTGAAGCTCTAACAGGAAGAGTTTTGGCACAAACACCTCTTTTCTCCTCTCAGCCATCATTTATCACTTGATCTTTCTGCCCTCCCTCAAGATTTGATATTTTAGAAGTTATTCTACTCCATGCTAACAAATCCCACAGTTTTTCACCTCTGCCCAAATTTAATATCACTGTTCTCTCATCCCTGAAAAGTTTCAGTCAATTTATATCACAGCCAACATGGAGAAAGTCTCAAAGCCATGAGGAAATTAAAGTTATTACATGTTTACAACCACTGTATGTAGAATTATTTTTCCAAGTTCACCTGGACATGACTCATGCATGATTAAGCACATCACCCCCACATTGACTAATTTGATTTCTGTTAATTAGACTAATTTGTCTAATATGCAGACTGCTAAAAATTAGCACCTGATGAACTTTACTGCCATTATCCTCCACATTTCATTTGATCATGAACTTAGGAAAAGCTGTGGATATTCACCTGATAGGCACCAGAAGGGCTCTTTAAAACAGGTTTACTTAAAATATCTGTGCCAACAATAAACCCAACACAAGCAGGATGCCAAAGCAGCAATCCCTGGAAAAGTTATTAAAATCTTGCTCTTCCTACCTCCACACTCTTCTATAAGATTGGCTATGGTTTCTGCTTCCTCTTCAGCCATTTTTAATATATTACTTAGTCCATCCAGAACCACTTGCACAACTTGTGCATCTTTTACTGTCAGCAAATTGCAAAAGGGAGGAATTACATTTTGTTGAATTAAGTAAGCCACCTGAAGGGGGAAAGCCAAGAGTTAGAGCAGGAATGAGGCAGCAGCACAAGCAAACACATCCCAGCAAGTCCAAATCCTCCAAGTCACCCACCCAGCTCAGGCCATTCTGCAGTGGCCACTTCAGGAATCTCTTTTTGGAACCTTCAGAGGTAACGTTTGGGTATTAAACTATGAATAGATTCGGGATTTACAACACCCAAGCAGTAAATCCTGTGAATTTTTCAGTGTCAGATAAGGAGTGTCAGCTTCATCTCTGAAGAAGCACCACCCCAACCCTCCCAAACTCTAGGTTTACAAGAGGATTGTGTACTTCTACTCATTGGTCACTGTCCTTTTAATTATCACATCCTCATGGTTGGGGAAAAAAAGGGTAAAAAGAAATGTGGAATGTTTGAGAATCCCATCAGAGCCTGACTGAAGTCAAACCAAAGCCTTGGGGATGCTCCTGATCTCAAGTCACTCCAGAAACAAGGGAAGGGCATTCCCAAATCCCACTGAAGGAACAGAGACATCCATAACCCCAGCACTTCCCAATACAGGAAATGGAAGTTTTCTCAAAGCTGGACTCACCTGGTCTTTTCTCCCACTGATTGTTAAGTTGCTTATTGCCCAAGCAGCTTCTTTCTGAGTCCCAAAATCCCCCTGAAAGAGACAGGAAGAGTCATTCCAGTGTTTAGGTCAGGCAGGATTCCCACAAAAGCTGCGTTTGTTACAGTCCCCTCTGCATGGTGCCACTGTAGCAGTTTGCTGTGAGAGTAACAAATAAATCCTGTCCTGTTTGAGTGTGTTCATCCCTTCCCTACAACCACGGTCTGCAACTGATCTTCCAGCTCATGCTCATGGAGAGCTGTGAGCCAGCACTGCTGCACACACTGCAGCTGCTCCAGCACCCCAGGGCTGCCATTACATGGAAAAGCCTCCAGTCTTTTCTCACAGATCAATAAATTGGCAATTAACAGAGCTGGCTGTGACCAGCTCTGTGTTGTCTTTTCCCTTAAATAATTCCCCATGTGCTTTTAGCTGTTCCTTCTTTCTGCCACAACAGATCCTTGGGAGCACAAAGTTGTTTGGGAAGTCACTTTTTAAAAGACACCAACACCCAACAGATGGAAAGGAACACAGGATTTGAAGCCCCAACACCAATCCTTGGGATCTGACCTTATCTAGAAGATGGATTATCATTGGAACAAGGTTTGCATCTATTACTGCCTGAACTTGCTGCTGGTTTCCTGCAGTGATGTTAGATAGGAACCACACTGCTTCCTGCAAAAGGAGAGATCAGCAGTTAATTCACAGAAGGATTCCAAACCATTTATGTCCACTCTTATTTGAACATTTGCAACTGCCCAACCTTAAACACAACCAAGCATTCAATCAGCTCGACTGTGCAGAGCTGAACTCTTGCTAAGACAAACCACAATCTCACCTTAGGTGACTCCACAAGACTCCTCAGTCTCTCACTGTTACCAGCTTCAACCAAATACTTCAAATTGAAAGGAAAAATTATGTGGAGACAGAAAATGCCAGATGAGCACTTCTGATTGCTTCCAGCAGTGCCAACAAGCAGGTCTGAGCTGATGGCCAAAATGCCTGACAAATCCTGTACTCCAGACACCACAGTGCAGGAGACAGTTCTTCATCCCCTTCCTAATGGCTCTTCTCAGCTTCAGGAAAATGCAGCACTATTAATGAACACTTGATTTCTAACAATTCTCTGAACTTGATGACTCTTTATGCTCATTCTGCCCACAAGGCCAGGAGTCTCCTCCCAGGCAAAGCAAGAACAGATCTCTTCCCCAGCAGCCCCTCCCTTAATGAAATTCAGAGCCCTCAGCTACCTTTTAGAATAAGAATCTAAACTTTAATCAATAAGTAACAGTTTTAAATACAATTTTAAGAATATTCAGTGTATCAACCTTTAAAAATCCTACAGCTGATAGATTTTTCCCTTCCTAGAAATTCCCCACCATTCAATTCCCTTCTCAACCTCCCCGAAAGAGAACTTTTTAGCTGAGATTTCTCCCAGCTAAAATAAGCTCCAGCAGTGTTCATCCTCCACTCACTGACTCTCTGAGATCAGATCACAGGATCACAGGTGACCCTGGGAGAGATTTGGGCTGCCTGGGGCTCTCCTGGTGGGCTTTTTTGGGGCTTTAATCACCGGCAGTGTTGCAGAGGGGCCCCGGAGGTGCCCAACACGCCTCAGATGCACTCCTGGCTCAGCACTGCCATCAGTGCCCCCACGAGAGCCCCTCACACCCCACACACAACCCCCAGCCTGCCTCCCCTCCCCTTCTCACACACACTCCATCCAAACACACCCAATCAGCTCCGTGTCATCACTTCCAAGAGAGTCAGTTTAATTAAGGTGACATTTCACGTATTGACAACTCCAACTTTTAAGTCAACAGCCAGATTTAGAAGAGAAAGCTTTGATTTCCTACAAATATTGACATTCCTGTCAAGCACAAGTCTGCAGCTCCTAAGAGACTTCCCTATGGATATTAATTTCCAGAAAAAAAACCAGAAAAAAATCAGTATTTGCTGAAATTTGCCACAAACTGGTGGAAGGAGTCAATTATTCACATCTTTATGATGCTACACAACGTGGAACCCAAGCTCAGCCAAATATAAAAGTCACCAATCAGGTAAAATCCCTGGTGCAGCTCACCTTATTAATTTTTTCTTTGGGATGTGTCAGAAGTGCTGGGAAATGTGAGAGAGCTTCGCAGTTGAGAACCACCTGTGTCTGCTCATCGGTGCCAGTGACGATGTTCCCCACGGCTCTCAGTGCAGCCGTCTGAAAACAAAACATTTCCTTTCAAAACAATGGGTTTTTTTCAGCAAAGATGAGCACAGAGAAGGTTTTATGCAAAGGTTTTATGCAAATGCTGCAGCATAAAGGAAAAAAATGGTTGTTAAATTTCAATGTGAGCTATGAAAAGAAAGCTTTGTCTGCAGTAGCACATTTTGGGGGTCACTTGTTCCAAAATGTGATCCAAACTCACCTGGACTTTGACTTCCTGGTGGCTGAGGAGAGGAACCAAGTGAGGGACAATTCCAGAGTCTATCACCATCTGGATCTGCTCGTTGCCAGCATCCGTGAGATAGGAGAGGGCCCAGACTGTATCTACCAATATCTGACAGGAAAACACAACAGCTCTGGCAATAGCACAGAAATGGCTCCCAAAAAATGAACATTTATAGATAAATTTATAATTAATTGGAATTAATATGTGTGTGCAGAAAATGTGAGCATTTCAACTGACAGCTTGCAAAAATATTGAGTGAGTGTTGTTTCAGCTGACAGCTCTTGACTGGCTCACCAATACAGGCATTTCCAAAATTCAAATAAACTTAATTTCACCTCCTTGGAGACAAGAAATTAAATCCCATAATTGCTATAGGAATAGTAAAGTTAATATAGCCATATTTTTTGCAGAGCATTGTTGCCATTAACTCAGCTACAATTGCTTTAGGAAGCAAAGAATTAATCTTAAATTCTGATTTACAGTCAGACAAAAAGATGACTTATTCCATAATTTCAATAAAGTTCTGCTCATTTACTTCCCTTTTGAGTAACAATTTCATATTTAACACCTCAGAAGTTACATGTACCCCTGTCATTTGACAAGTGCACCAGACTCTGATTTTCCTTTCATTCACACTGATTTTCATTACAAATTTAAGTGCTGGGCAAAAAAAATCCTCTATTTCTCTGTGAATGAATGCTCACAGAAATAAAAATAAAATGCAGTTTCAGTTGTAAGTGCAGGGAAAGTACATGCAAATAAACAATTGCAAAGACAGAAATACCAGGGGGGAAAAAAAATCACTATTTAAAAATAACATCAAATTTAAAAATAAATAGTTAATAGATACCAAAAGTAGTTTATCCTAATCAAGGGGAACATCACAGATTTTAATTTTATTTTCTATTTCAGCTAAAAAACTACAGCAGAAGCTGCAAGTGGCTTTAGGAGGGGTCACTCACATTTACATCCGTGTGGTGAATTAAAACACAGAGCGCCGGCAGGATCTGTGGGGGGAAAGGAACACCTGAGGGTTATTTCTGAAGCAGATATTTCTAAAGTTCTTTCTTTCCAAACCCCCAGCTGGAATTGAACCCCACTCCAGAGCAATCCCATCACCTCCTGGATGGTTTCCATCGGTGGAGGGGGGTCTTTGTGGCGGCACAGGTTGACCATGACCCAGGTGACGTTCCTGAGGAAGGTGATGGGGATGGAGGGGCTGATGAAGGACAGCAGTGGCTTCACTACTCCAAGACTAATGACATAATCTCTACACTGGGGTCCATCACCTGTGGGAGACAATCAGTGGTGCTTTAACAAGAAACACCCCAGCATTTCCAGATTTCAACAAAACACACCCCAGCATTTCCAGATTTCAACAGGAACCAGCCCAGCATTTCCAGATTTCAACAGGAACCAGCCCAGCATTTCCAGATTTCAACAGGAACCAGCCCAGCATTTCTAGATTGATGGTGGTGGCAGACACCACCAGACCACCAAGAGCAGTGAGAGCCCAACATATTCCTGAGGATTCCTTGAGCTTTCAGTTTCCAAACAATAACCCAGCATCCCCAGAGCTTGGTGGTGGCAGGAGGAACACCCACCTATGATATTTCCTAAAGCCCACACTGCTTGCTCACAAACATTTTGATGAGGTGAATGCAGCAGTCTCAGGAAAAGCGGCACAGCATCTGAAAGGCACAGAAAGAACCCAGGGAAATGGTTAAAAAATGCATCTCAAAAGAGCAAATAATTCACAGAATTAACTCTCACATGAGACATTTTTCTCCTGTTAAGAGCTGGTGAAAGCTTCACTAATTTCCCAGGTGATACTAAAATAAAACACTGCAATAATTCTTCCTCTGCTGCATATTCTTACAGAGCCTGCACTCGAGAATATTAAACCCCTGACATTTAATTTGTTTGCAAGTCTCGAGTTTACTGAAGCTTGTCAGGATCCAAATTCAGTTCCATTTATTGAATTTAGAAATTCTCTGCTAAGTTCTGCACCAGACCCAAGTGCAAAGACCAAACTCAGCCATTCAAGTGAAGCAACTCAAGAATAAGCAGGAATGGAGTGGGAACTGAGGAGTGGGAATGTAGAAAGAGGGCAGGAAAGGAATCCCCATTTACATAATTGATTCTGTTTGATTTTCCCCCAGCACTGAGGTGTTTCTTACATAACAGCTCAGTCTGTAAGGAACCCATTTACTTCATATATTTCAAGAGGAATTTGAAATTTTCAGTTGGATTTTTTCTTCATGTCAACCACGTGTTTGCTAGAGAAACAACAAATCAGCAGGATTCTTATTTCCTGTTAAATAAAGGTATTTACAGTGTCTGTATGCAAGGACAAAAAACATCTCCAGCAAGCAGATTAATAAATTCTTATGGAAAAATTACAGAAGAGCATCTTTTTAATTTAAATAAATCATAATTTCATATGTCACAGCTATTAAATTGACTAAGAGAGTGCAATACAGACCTACAGAAATCACTGAAACAGTGCTCAATCCATTGATAAATTAGATTTAAAGTGTTCTAGACCAGGGGTGGGATAGATTATTAATGACATTTCCCAAAGAAAATTCAGGTTGCAACTGGGAAAGGAAGAGGACAGAGAAAAAGGTAAAAGTAGTACCAAAGGTACATCCTATAAATGTGAAAACCAAATTTTATCAAAGCTCACAAGCTCTTAACACTGAGTTTGCAAAAGCAGAAGCAACTGATTCTGCAGCCAATGTAAGTTTTGTGTATTTCTTTCCTTATATTTTAGGAAAAACTCATTTCACGCTATCTTTGATGCTTCAAGAAGCTCTGGTGTGTTCACTCAATTAAAAACCCTGCCCACTTAGTTTTGATTTAGCAACAGAAGCTCAGCTTCAGGACATGCTTGGAGTCCAGAACAAAGTTTGCTCTGCCTGGCAGCAGAGATTCCAACGACAATTCCTTCCCACGTTTCAGATGTCTCAAAATACGAAGGACAGGTTTTTTAATTCAACTTGATTTTGAAAGAATTCGGTGTCAGGTGCATTAATACTCTTCCCTCTTCACAACAGGGAGCTTTTCAGAGGGGCTGTTTGGTTTTATTTCAAGTTTTTTGGGGACTTTTAGGGTTGTTTTATTTTTAAGTTTGAAAACTGGAAACCAGCAGATACCAACTCTGCTAAGATATGGTGAGTTTGCAGCTGTTTCACCATTAGGAAACCCCAGTGGGTTTAAACCCTGAGAAAAGGAAGCCAAAAGCAGGTGTGTCAGGTAAACACCTGGCAGCAGCTCCTTCAGGACACCCTGATCCCAACCAAATCCCAGATGTGGATGGAAACAAATCCACCCTGCAGGACTCACTGGATTGAACTACGGCCTGGGTTTGTTCCGAGGTTCCAGAGGCGATGTTTGTCAAAGCCCACGCAGCTTCAAACTGTAAGGAAGGACTGCAGAGACAGACAAACCACAGGAATTATTATTCACATCAGGGGCACTTCAGCTAATAGCAAGAATTGGTGCAGTAATTTGAGTTTTGGCAATACTCACTTGTCATCTCTTTCAAGACAGTGCACTAAGATAGGTAATATTCCTGATTTTATTAGGTCATCGATGGGTGGATTGCGGTCGCTGGACAGCAGCTTCCTGTGCAGGGAAATGGAAAAAAAACCCAAATTACAGACAAATCCTGCCTGGAAGGGAGCAGGGAGCTGTTTAATCCAACTTTCCCTTCAAAAAGGGATCAGTGCTGACACTGGAGCACGTCAGTAAAGGCTTGCTCTGGTTGAGTTTGGGAATCTCCAGTGGAGCCCCCACAACCAAGCTGCTCCTGCTGGGAATTCCTTCCCAAGCGTTTCTCTCCTCCTCCCAAAGACCCACAGGATTTGTTTCCTTCTCTTTAAGTGAAAATAATCCCCCAAAGTGAAATTATGGAGCCACTGGAAAAGCAAAGCCATTACATCCATTGGCCATTTCATTCCATGTTTTCTCCCCTTTGGAAGTTTATCACCAGTCAGGAAAATAAAATCAGAGTTATTCAGTTCCAGCTTCTCCCTTCTCCACCCAGCAAAGGAGACACTCAACTCTTTCTGCACTTAAAGCCAAAGATTTTACACTGCTTTAAAGAGTGGATTTTACTCTGTGAGAAGCATCAAGTCTGCACCAAATACATCCAGGTATTTACATCTAAAGAAAATCCACACTGCTTAAAAGGTCTGTGTATTCTGATTTCTTTACAGTTCTATTTTCTTCTTAAAAATCAATTCATACAATTTCAGTTAAGCTAGACAACATTTTCTGACCTTAAGAGCAGATAAAATCAGAATAAAATCAGGATATTTGAGCAAAGTGTGTTCTTACCTTGCTGCCTGCACAGCACTTAACTGAATACCCTGGTTGTCACTTGAAGCATTCTAAAATAAGAAAAATTAGATTTTTCACATATCTGTCATCATGCCATGAAGAATAGTCAAACAATTTAATTGTTTTTACCTGTACTATTGCCTCCAAAGAAGTGTTTTGCTAGAAAACAGAGACAAAAAGCAGTCAGAAATTCCAAATGTCTTTTAAGTATGCAAAAAGAAGAAATTATTGTGAGTTAATTCTTACCACTCTGAAGTCCCCATCTATATCAGAATCTTCACAGATATCTTCATGGGGGACATTCCTTCTCTTTAGGAGATGCTCATCTCTTTTGTTCTTAAAGAGAAAAACGATGGGATGCCTTTAAAACTTGGATTTAGAGGAGGGTGGGGGTGTTAAGAAGGGAAGGGAAGTTTCTGCTTCAAACAATCCTAAAAGACACCATCACTGACATTTAAATTTCTAACAGGACACAGCAATTCCCAGAAGTTTCCTGTTCAGCTCAGAAGAATTCTAGTTGTGATTCCTTTTTTCCAACAATTCCACTTTTACCTTCACACTCTTCCTCACTTGCAAGGGCAGTAACTTTCTGCCTGCAGATGAGCAGGAACAGCCGATTTTCAAAGGAAAATCCAAGATGTATAAAAATCTTTAAAAACCTCTGGAAGTGTAAAAATGATTCCCTTAATTAGGTCACAAATGAACTCCAGGTTTTCAGGACAAAAGTTTTGGAATTTCCCTAACTTCAGAACTTTTGTGTCTTTAACAAAAACTCTTACCATTGGTAAGAATCATAATATAAAATAGAATAATAATAATATAAAATGGAAGAATAATAATTCTCACCTTTCTCAACTCCACAACAACTTCATTTCTTTGTCTTCTCATAGTCTGGAAAGAATAAAGATCAAAAAACCCCCATCATAATCTGAATTTAGAACAATTTAAAAAGTTCTTGTACAACTATTTCAGTTCATGCACTTTAAATAACTTTTACACACATGGTTTAATTTTCATTATAAAAGAAGAGATCCTACAGGAAATGGAAATAACTACAATACTTCTGTTATTATACAGTAAAATGCTCTCCTAAATCTTCATGTTGAGGAAAAAAGGAATTAGGAATAAAACCATGTCTTTCAAAGGAAAAAATGGAAAGGAGTTGTGCATAAAACAGCACCAAAAGCATTAAAAAGACCATGGAAATTTATAAATAAGCTCAAATTAAGAGACCCTGCAAGCAAAGCTGAGTTCCAGAACTATTATTTATAAATTAAAACCTTTGACATTCTAAGATTGATTTTTTTTTTGTCATTTTCTCTACAGCTGCCATGGACAGTATTCAGGAAAAAAATCAATGGTAAATATACATAAATTGGTTTATTGCTGCTTGTGCTACTGCAGAGAAAACAGAGAAATAAATCAGTCTGGAGTGATTTTGTTCTACACTTTGAACTCTACAGCAGTGAATGAGAACAGCAAAATTCCAAATAATTCCATTTTTATTGTGAGAAGCCCAGGGAAAGCTGGAAGTCCCTGAGCACAGGACAGAAGGAAAAGGAACCTCCTGAAGAGCAAGAAGATCTGAAGATAAGCATTAAAACCTCACTTTCAAAGTATCATTATTTTTATCAAAAAGAACATGCAGCCCATCAGATCAAATTTCAGCTGAGCACGACACCGCAGCTCCACAAAAAAATGTGGAAGATAGGAAAAACATGGAAAAGAAGGGTGGTTTCCTGCTGCTCTGGAGGCAGAACTTTGCCTGGTCTGAGGGGAAATCCAACCTCTCCTCAGGGACAGCTTCCTGCTCTGGAAAAGGCAAAGTTCCCAGGAGCAGCTCCAATTCCTCACAGGGCTCCACATTCCCTGGAATGCCCGAGCCCCCAGGCAGCTCTGCAGAGCAGAGTAAAGGCAGGAATCTCTCTGGATATTTCTCCAGCAGCTGATCCACCGCTGGAGCCCACCCAGAACTTCCAGGCTGGGAAAGATGCTGCAGCTTTACACCTGACTCTGGTACTCCAGGCTCCTGCTCTCAAATGCTCGCTGGAGTTTCTCCAAACTCTTCTGATCTGGCACATCCAAGATGAAATCAATGTGAGGGAAGGCTCTCATAATCCGATTGCAGAACTGTACCACGCCCCTGATGATCTCACAGGGCTTTTAACACCTTCCCAAAGTACAAGCCAACAAAATCAGCATTCCCACCCAAAAGCTGCCCTGGGAGAGCGATGGCTATTCCCAAACCCCAGGGATGACATTGCTGCTCACAGCAAAGCTGCTGCTGACATAGGGAGAAGTAAGTGGGATCAAAACAAATATTACAACAACAACAACAACAAAGCCTCAATGTGTCATTTAGAAGATTCTTTACTTGAAAAATCCTATCTGCAGGTGATCAGACTTTAAAAGATCCTCTGCTGGGACAAGAAGAATGTTCTCCCTCCTGCCACAAGCTGACAGGCCCTTGCCTGAATTCCTGCCTTGGAATCACAAAAGCCTTCACATGAAAGACAAGCCACCGGTGAAGTCACACTCAAGCACAACTTCCCAAAACCTGGCTCCACTAAAATCACCCCGTGTACACAGAGTTTGCTGACAGAATAGCTACAGGTCAACCTGGCACTGCTCATCCTCTGAGGAAAAGCACAACAAATGAGAACTGAAGTCAGCTCTGCCATGGGATTTCCCGATGGAACAGTTTGGAGAAAGTAAAATGCTGAGCAGAGCCAAGATCAACTCGTGCTGCATTTTGGAGAACAGCTCAAAGGGCAGAGATGAGGGATGGTGGTGCCTTGGCACGTGGGGAGTTATCCCTTCTGTTCTGGGGGAGATCTGAGCTATGTGCATCAGCTGCAGCTCACACCAACACAGGAAACCACTCTCACCAGCAAGGCTTTAAAGCAGAGTTCAGAATGGCCCTGGGAAGGGCTCCAGTTGAAAAACATGCACCACTCTGGCAGGAATTCACGTGGCTCTTTCAGTCACTGGATCCTGTTTGTCATTTGCTACATCAAAAATCAAATGATCCGATCTATTTCTGTCAGCCTATGATGGCCACCCCTCCATCCTCCTTTTTTCAATTATATTTAGCTTCAGATTTATCATAAGGGCTATTTCTGACCATTAGTCATGACTGAGCCCTTCAGCTTATCATTAAAATCTCGTGTTAGTGATGCCTGCAGGATCCTGAGACATTCTGGGGGTTTTCACAGCAACACCAGGAACATTCCAAGCAGTTGGGATCCACCAGCCCATCCTAAATACACCAGGGATGGGATCCTGCCCCCTGTTCCTTCCCTGCAGGGATCAGGAACTCAGCCTGCAGTCACTCCTGGGTGGGGTGGCGGTTTTTTTTTTGCTGTTATAAAATACTCCCCTCCATTTATACCCCTCCTACAGGAAGGTCTGACAGCACAGGAGTAACTGTAGAACCTTGGCTGCTCCTCTCATCTCAGGGAATGGTTTCCAAAGGCACATTGTTTCTGCCGGGGAACTGCAAAGTCAACAGTTACTGTAAATAAAAAATGAGTTGGTTGTGCCATCCTTCCTTCCTTCCTTCCCAGGAAGTTGCTACCAGCACCGGTGTGGTCTGGGATTCCAAACAAAAACAAAAAACACCCCACAGGGAATAGATATATGAAACCAGACCATTTTTCCTCAGTTGTATCCAGTGATCCAGGCCCTGCTACATCCATTATTCCCCTCCTATACAAATCCCATCTCAACTCCAAACGGGAGCAATAAAATCTGCTCTCAAGATCACTGATAAAAATGCTTTGGGATCATAAAGCCAAGCCAAGATACCCCCAGAAATCACATCTCAGCAACTCTTTCCCCTTCAGAATGAAAATGGGAGTCTGAGTTCCAGATAAAAAAAATAAAAATCAATATGACATTACAAGTTCTACCAGCCCCATTTTTCCTGGAGAAGCTGTGCATGGCAGAGAAAATGCCTTAAACAAATATCTCAGTATCATTTGAGAGTGACAAGATGGATGAGCTTCACCACAGAACTCCAAGTCAGCTTAAAGGAACCTATTTTTATCTCACTGAGTGAAATTCCTGCTCTCCTTCAGTTCTTCCATATTTAATCCCAAGCAGACTATTTTGTGTGGGATACAAAAAGGGTTGAAAAGCTCCAAAGTACCTGCAATATTCAATATATCTCACACCAGCACCTTTTTTCCCTCCCTTGGAGCTTCCTTGGTGTTGTAAAATTTTAAAGTCCAGTGAATGATGCTGGCAACTCTTAAAATCCTGACATTACTGATCTTCAAGCATCTTGATGCAATGGCTGCTCCAAAATTAGTTTTGAAGTGCTCTGCATCACGGAATTATCAGCATTTCCCTTCATGCATCTCTCAATTGCAGAGCAGAAATCTCTATTTAACACCTCTCCTGTGCTAGCACTGCTCAAGCAATCCTTAATCTCCTGCCCAGCAACACAGGTGAGGAAGGGGAAAAAAGATTCAGCAGATTCTTCCAGGACTTCCAGAGAACTAAAATGCAGGAAATATTTTTTATTTCATTTAAAAAAAAAACCCTAAATGTCAGTCATTGCAATACTGCAGCAGGCAACAATCACCAAGAGAAAATGAAATGTTGAATCACCAGGTGAAAGAAAATGAAGCAAATAAAACACCCCAAAATTCTGCAAACCTTCCCAAATCAAGATCCCTAAATTCATGACTAAAAAGGGCATTATTTAAACTCAAATTATTCATAAAACTCTAGCACAGACACAATGAACAATTTGCACTTATCTGACCTTTGTACAGTAAAGATCTGATATTTAACTCTGAGATCTGTGGTACTACCATTAAAAAGAGAGGTTTGATGGGTGTCAGCACAGCCATGCCCACAATAACCAGTAAAAAACAGCTCAACCTTTCTCATCCAAGGAGGAAAAAAAAGCCCAAGTAAAACCTGTTCCTCACTGAAGACACAAGATGAAAAAAGTCACCTTACCCTGCTCCCTAATGGATAAGTATTTGCATAATTTAATAGCAGAGTCCAGATAAGCCCTTCTTCAAGACAGACTTTAGGGTTGGAGGTTAAAGAGAAAAACTCTGGCCACTTCTGCAGTTTTTCAGGCTCCTCTTTGTGTTGAACCAATTCCAGTTTTCCCCCCACAGCTCTAAAATCTTGAAGACCCTAAAAAAAATGTTGCAAGCACCGACCAGAAATCTTCAATTTCCCACAGAGATGCTGCCTCAGCTCCAAATTACCACTCTCCCAGCACCAACTCTCCCACTATTAAAAACTTTATTACACCATGTATTCCTTTGAGCAGGAGCAGAAATCAGGGAAAGGACAAGGAATTATTGGAGATTTCTGGTCCCACTGAATCCCTCTATTCCCAGTGTCACCACAGATTCGTCATCTCCAAACACATGGCAGCAATTATTTACAACGTGCCCGTGCAGGAAATGTTTACCCAAGACTTCAGCATATGAAGGAATTTTGTTAAACACCTTATGTAAAACAGGTGCATGTGTAGGGATTTGTTTTCTTTTTTCCCCTCTTTTTCCCAGGCCAGAATTTGTATTTTCAGAAGTATATTGGGGGAAAAAAAAAAAAAATAAATGAAAGTTCAACTTCAACTTAAGTATTCAAAAAGGTGAATAAATGTTTGGTACTTTGAGGGATGAAATGTAGGAAATTCCCTAATTTATGTCAGAAATGCAAGAACTTCCTGTGAAAATGTAAAACCTGGAAGGCAAGGACAATGTGACAGGAACTGCTGGCACTGTAACTGTCAATGGACTGATCTGAGCACATGGAATTAAGAGAACATTTTTAGGAAGTTGCAATTCACAACATGGCAACCTTTCTTAACCTCTAGAAATCTCTTCATTTGGCATTGACCAAAATTCGGGTGATTTCTTATTTCTCTAAGGCTGAAC